TACCACTGGGAATGCCCTGTTCTTTGCACTATAAAGACTTACTGCTTTAATGGATAAAACCCTAAGAAGATCTGCAGAGAATCAGACCAAAGACCCATCTGCTTCAGTACCCTACTTATACTGACTAACTAGATGGTTCCTAGAAAGAATGGTTCACAAAGAAATCATTAAGGCAACAGTTCCCCTATGTCCCCACCCTATCCCCACCCACGCAATAGGTATTCAGAAGCCTATCACTGCCTCTGAACATGGAAGCGTATATTGCTGTTATAGCTAATAGCCTTTGATAAGCCAGTTTCTAGAATGTGAGTACATTTCCTTTTAAAGTTATCTGAGCAGCGGTGTTTGCCCCTGTGGATTTTGGGAACTGTGAAAAAGTACTTTTCTTGTTGAAGATTTCCTTGAGAACATAGAAATCCCTGTCCATAGCATAAAATACTTTATAAGCCTATTATGAATAGATGGCAGTAGACCCACTACAAGTTTAAGAATCCCTGTCTTAGAAGAATAATTGTTTTACACAGACTCTTTTTCAGTCATTTGATTCTAGGCTTGCTCTTACAGCTGCCACATGGACATCTCTCTGCAACTGAATTTTGGAAAATGGTGATGAATACTTTACAACAGGCTGAAGATCAGCTGTACTCTCTCCAGAAGAAGTTTGACACTGTTTTGCCAAACCCAGTTGTGCAGGTATGATGCTACAGGGTGCACAATTTCCCCAGTTGACTGATGGCTAGTTAACCCATACTCATTTGACATCAGCATGGAAGAAGCAAATGCTCTTTCCCAGTGAATTCTGGATCTTATCCAGTGATGTTCTGTGATTGTGGACACTTGGATTTTCCCATGTATAAACTTGGAATCTGAGTGCTAGGGAAGTGGAATAATTCAAAGGCTTGCATGCTTGTCTTTGGAGAGTTTGTTTTTCGTGAAGTACCCAAGATGAGACTCAGATTATGTCACATTTTTCATGAAGGCATTCAGATATCTTTGCTAAGCAGCCTATTTCTGCATTGTGTGCATTTTGGGGGGAAATGTATGAACCCTTCTGAGAACTATATTTTTTCCTGAGTCATTGACCCATACATGCTGTATATAGATGTTATTTCTGCAGCTGATGGTGGTTTTAGTACAAATTGTAGGCCAATGGATAGTTTTTATAATTACTTCTAACTAAACAAATTTGGTTACTAATAATCCCAAAGCAAACTCAGGGCCAGTAGAAGCATTAGGAAGGATAAAGCAGATAATCTTAAGCAGTTGATTTTGGGGTACCATTAAAGGACTTACCATTAAAGGAATTACTGGCCATATTGCCTAACTTTATAATTTGAGCACTGTACACATAAAACATCTGGACTGATTCTAGATATTTGTATCCCCAGCAATGGATGAGTAACAGCTAGGCATTTATTATGTTTTGCATTTATTTATTTAATTTGAAGCATGTTATATTTAGCCTAAATTTCAGAGTAGCTGACTTTAGATCAGTGTGATTGTTTGAAAGGCCACAGCACTAAAATTCAGCAGCAGCTGTCACAAGCAAATGTATTGCTGATGTTGACTCTGTGGAAGAAATAGAACTGGTAAGCATCAGAAGCAGATGAGACTAATTTTCCTTCTCCTTTTCCCAGTGCCCAATTTCTTGCAGTCTTACTTTGCCTCACTTGTTCTCTGAAACTTAGTGTGCAAAATATGTTTGACTTTCAGGATTTGGCACACCTTGTTCTAGGATATTTTTGGTTAGATGCATTAGCACCTTGTTTCATTATGATTCATCCATAAGTGCATAAAACACAGCATATTCTTTCCACAGGGGATATGTTTTTGACTCATTTCTCCCTCTATCTTTTCAATAGCCACTTAGCTCTGCTGAGGAGAAGAAGGCCCTTTTGCTTTTGAACAGACATGGCCCAGATAAGTTATACCAAGTGACAAGTGACACCAGTGGCTGCAAAGAGATGGACTTGACTCTGCAGAGGGGGCAGATAGTAGCTTTTTTGCATGGCATGGACACCAAGGGCAACACAAACCGATGGCTGGTAGATACAGGAGGTACTGTCAACACTGCAACTACCCAGAACCCTTTTCTTTGTTACCAAGAGTGGTATGTTAGGATGGTCTGATCAGTCTAAACCCGGTCTGTGTGAATGTCACATATTATTCTGTTCTGTGAAATTTGAAAAGTAATGATTTTTTTTTCTTTCGACTTGCCTTAAAAAATCCATGACTGTATAGATTTTGAGAATATCTATCTCAAAAACCTAAGTAGGATCAGATCTGTGTAATACTTGGATGGCAGACTACCAGGAATCCTCATAGCTGTAGGGTAGATTAGAAAGTCAAAATAACATTCTGGAAGAAGAGAATGGCAAGCCACTTCCAAATCATTTTCAAAAAAGCTACATGGGTATGCCCTGAAATTAGTAAGAGTCAAACTCAACTCAAGGAAGTTGTTTATCTGTAGTCACAATATTTTTGTATTCAGTTTACGCATCTAAATCCCATCGAAGCTTATTTATATAGCTGTATTGTAATATATGCTGTTTCCTATACAACCTGGTCTACCTCATGTTTATATTTTCTGAATGATGTATGCTTTAATTGCAACAAAACCTTAATATATGAAGTGACAGGGGGGGTATTGAGGGAAGAGGCATCTACATATCATCCAAAAAGATTATTTTCCAAAATACAGGTAGTCCCCAGTTTAAGAATGAGTTCTGTTCCCAAGGTCTGTCCTTAAATTGAATTTGTACGTAATCTGGAACAGTATTATTGTATAATACTGTACAAGTAGTATTGTATAATTAACTCGAACCACTGTGTATTTAACTCAAATTTTGCTATAATAGGCTCCATTCTTAACTATGGGTTGTCCATAAACTGGGCATTCTTAACCCAGGGATTACCTGTACATTCTGACTTTTAGGAACTTTTTTAGCAGAAAAAAAGGGTAAAAAAGGTCTCCATACCAGCAGGTTGCAATACAGTCTTTGATGAAGTGCAGCCTTTTGATGTAAAAGAAATCTGTGTCTGATATCTTTTACATCCCTACTGCCATCAGATAAGAAGCTTAAATCATAACCATAGAAGATTTCACTGAGCCTAATCTGGTAGGCTCCAGATGTGTTGGATTACAACTCCCAAATCTCTGGCTGGTTATCAGGGGAATTATAGTCCAGCAGATCTGGAGGTCAGCAATTTGAGGAAGATTATTATAGAGTGCTGTCGCTCATACAAAATGTGATCTGATAGTCTGATTAGCTAATATACAAGGAAAAGAGAAAGTTGTGGTTCTTCCTTTGGCGTTTTTTTTTTTAACTTTTCAGTATTATTTTTTGTATGTGTTGTAATTCCATTAACATCTTTTTAAAAATAGATTTAGACACAGCCAGTATTTTGTCATTCTTCTACCTTAACTGAGAGTATTTACCACTGCACAGTTGGCTTTATATGCCTTTCAGTATTTGAGTGAATTTAAATATTAGTCACTGAGCTTCTCAGAGATCAAGGGTCGACTACTATGGGAAACAGGGTGTTGGATTAAATGGACATGATTTAGCTAGATTCTCCTAGCCAGTCACATTTTATTAGTTCCTAATGAGAATATAATTCCTAGCCAGTTGCATCTTATAAATGAGAAGTGGATTTTTTTCCTTGTGATAGTTTTCCTTGAATTCTCTGAGCAACTGGGTGACAGAATAAAAGACCTCTTTGTATACTTGCTAAACGGTTTTAGTGAAACAGGGACTTGCTTAGTTCATCTCTGAACAGAGAAAATCAAATGTCAGGAAGAAAACCAGAGCAGTGATAGGATAGCTGGACAGAAGCATCCCGAGTGTTGTAGGTTCCCCTACCAGATTTTGCATGCATTATATAATGCCTAACCCAGTGTTGTCCAAACTTGGCCACTTTAAGATGAGTGGACTTCAACTCCCAGA